ATATATATAACTAAACCAACTTTATGGTTGTACGACAGTGCAGCATCAGTGCAAACACTGATGTTGCTGTCATTGATGATGATGATGATTCTGCAAGAGCATGTTTAAGAACTCAAGAAAGGGCAGTGGAAGTTGTGAAACACTAGCTCTGACGGTAGTAGGACAGACCAAGTGAACGCACGAACCCCGATTGCTTTTGACAATTTGAGTTACTTGAAGTTCGAAAAAAAACATCGCTGTGTCACAAAGGGCAGTTGGGTCAAGAACATAGCCATGCTTATTGATCTCAAAGTTCAGAGCCTAGACTAGTCAGAATCCATCGCTGCCTCGCGCGTCGCCATGGCGTAAACAGGTAGTAGCAACCGGACAGCTTCGCTACCGTGCGACACACGTGTAGGCCGATGACAGTGCCGAGGTAGCGGTCTGAATGAGGGATTAAATATTGTCGTGGCGTGACATTCTGTGATCAGTGCAGAGGATGTTCATCATCTCCATCATCGATAAAAACATCAGAGAAGACAACTGGCCAAAGGAGTCAAACTTCGCAAGGCAAGATCATGAATACAGACTTATAATAAATACCAATTTGATAGTCATTGTGCCAGAAAGCCTGCTTCAAACGTGCGGTGTATCACTTGTGGTAATAATGCTCGCCACATACAACGCTGTGTACAAGCGAAAGGAGCTGAGCTTTCATGTTCCCTGCAGCTCAGTGATTGAGGTACCATGGTTCGAACCCAACCCCCGGGGATCTAGGCTCAGACAATCTGGCAGAATCTCAGCTCTCGTGCTTCCTTCGGGTGTTACGTCTGAATGATTATGCATATTTGTTCATCACCACAGTCATCAGAAACAGCAACATCAGTTTTGACAGTGAGGCTTCACTAGCATACACCAAAAAAATCTTTCAGCTGTAACACCCTTTCGGTGGCTAGCTGTCACGCCACCCGAAAAAAGCACGAGAGCTGGAATACTGCCAAGTCGCCCAAGCCTAGACAGGGTAAGTCGAGAGGCAGAGGTCGGGTTCGAACCACGGACCTTCCGGTCAGTAATAGATTCACGCTCTAATTACTTGAGCCATCTCGTCCAATTACTAAGTAAGTGGATATTAACTCATATCTGGAGCCTGTTGGTGCTGGAAAACCCGGCTGATGGTCAGATACAAAGACGAAAAGAGGTAAGAAATGAAAAAGAAGGACGAGAGATTCCTCTAGGTTCCAGATGAGTTACCCATCAAAACCGAATTGGTATGAAAATGAGTGTATTTCGCTAATTTCGTGCAATTTGGGTTCCAGTAGGACATAAAGTTGACGGAAACTCGGGGCTGTGTCTACCTGATCAGCCGGTCCCAAGAAGGGCGAAACCGGTCGTGGGCTGTCAAAGAGTTTTCAGCAACCTTGTGAGTAGTTTCCTCCATGAAAATATACTGCGATATCTCGAATATCGTACCAACTGAAACATGAGGCGGTCTGTGTGCAGCACATTCAGTTGAGGAATATCATAAACGAGAGGTTCACTTGAGTCTCCGATGAAAAACAAATTGATTTGCAAATGAGTGCATCTGTCGAAATCAGTCTAATTTGGGTTCCAATAGGACATAAGATTGACGGAAACTCGGGGACTGCGCCTACCTGATGAGCCGGCCTCAAGAAGGGCTGGTCGCTGGCTGTAGAAGAGTTACGCGTATTACAAAAAACCCAAAATTCTTCATTAAATAGCAAAAACACAACTGGCACCCCAGAGCAATGTTTCATCATTGCTCTGCTGTCAAACCAAAACACAATAAGGGGGGAAGGGCTTAGAGGATCAATTCTGCCAGACTGTGAACTCACTAGAACCGCATCAGCATTGCGACAACAAGCGAGGCCAACAGGAGTTGGAACACCCAGATGAATAGTTCGTAGAAATGTTCGAACATTTCAACAAACAGGTACCAGTAGATGCCCAGTTGTGGGGTGCAGTCGACAAAACGCAACCTGGGGAGGAGAGGGAGCGTAAACGAGTTAGATCACTGATCGTTTAAATAATCTTGGCTACCTGCTGAAGGTAGTTCTTACGTATTGGTCATTTCAACTGCAATAAGACCAAACAGGGAGCAAACGTGATGAGTTGGATACGCTGGTCGGAGGGGTTGCTAACAATGAGGAACAATGGGGCCCCAACAGGTAGACATGAACAAGTGGACAAACCTTGGGCAATCTGCTCAGAATAGGAAGGCGCATGAATCTTCCCTCTCAGAAGCCACAACTCCTAGAACGTGAACTGTCCGTCTGGCGTCATATCCCATCTACGTACGAGTTGATCAACCCTCGTGGCAGCAAGCCGGAGGATGGCGGGCTCGAATCCCAACAGAGGTTCGTCAAGAGTGCACTGCCGGTGATTCTCGACAACAATGTTTCTCGGTTTTTCGGCATAGAGTGACTTCACTTACAGATTGAACTTTCAAGCATTACACACTGGTATCCCCAGGATCACCGAAGATGACCACCAGATAAGATTGTGTACATTCCCAGGCGGTTCAATTCTCAACCCGTGCTTCAACTTGCTGCGAAGAAATCACGGTTACTCCCTTAAGAAACCAAGGTAGGATTTGTTGGCAGGCACCGGTTGCAACACTGGTACAGCACAAACGGTTGGAACGAAGCCACGTGCGGAGTTGTGTGCGGGTTTTTGTTTTGGAGAAAAAAGGTGGTACGACAGGCTACCTTATCCCTAGCCTATCAGAATCTTATGGGCTTCAAGAATCGATACCTAACCCTTTGTTTAACAAATCTATGATGCGAACGCGAATAAAGCAAATCCCGCAATCACCTACTACCAATCTAAAAATTTTACAGCAGGTTTCAAACGCCCGCGTCTTGTCCGACGGGTCAATCACTCAGCAAGCCTACTACCAATCTAAAAATTTTACAGCAGGTTTCAAACGCCCGCGTCTTGTCCGACGGGTCAATCGATCGACTCAGCCAGGACAGATCGTCGTTCAGGAGATCGGGCTAACCGATCACATCGCTAAAGAGTGAACGCGTTCGCTTGTTGAAACGTTATAATTCCCAGACGTCCAGCATGCGCTGGTTGGGTAGTAGTAACACATTCGTCTCGCATGCCGGACGTCCGGAGTTCGAATCCCGGCTGATTTCCAATAAGAGTGGAACTCGAGGCCACCGCTTCCCCTCTTGAGTGTGGACTCACCAGGAGGACTGTACAAAGGGGAGTGATGTGCAAGCGAATGAAAAAAAGACGAATAACGAAAGTGGCTCGATGTTCAATTCGATATAGCATAACGTATTAGAGCCTGGCTTTCCACAAGTTCAGGTATAACACAATAAAACGACGCACTCACTGATGCAAGTAGATAGAGTTCATGAAACTCCAGTCATGGCCTTCGAGCACGTAACTGCCCCATATGAGACCACCGAAAGTGCCAACGAAACCAACCAGGCAGGAGATGGTCCGCAGAACTCGTTGCCGGATCCCGACAGGCCTGAGTAAGCCCTTGGCGAAGGGAGGCAAGGTCAACGGTACTAAATTAGCCATAAAGTGCGGTTGAAAAAGGTAGACAGGAATGTTAGAAACTTAGAACTAAGTGGAATGTGCCAGCAGCTCGGACTTCTATGTTTTAAACATCCGCGCAGTGTGAATTGACTAAAGGAGAAGATACGCCTCAGCAGCGGTTGAGCAATAGCTAGGTGATGAATAGTGTGATACCTAGGAATTGATTTGGAAAAAAGAATAACAGATTATAGTAGGCCTGTCATGAACAAGGAAGGGTTCTGGACCACTGAATTTTACACAAAATTTCGATGCGGAACGCATAAGGGGGTGTGAAAAAAAACAATTCCGACGGGAGCAGAAGGGAGCACGAGGGCTGGGATACCCCCAGGTTTTCCAAGTCGACAGGCAGAGATCGAGTTCGAACCACAGACCTTCCGGTAACCAGATTCGCGCTCTAACCACTAAGCCATTTCGCCCCAATTCTTACGATCTCATTGCTTTTGTGCATCGCCGGTAGTTTAGGTTCAACGGTGCTATTCATAGACTTCTCCGTGAGTAAAATGTATCCAATTCTTTTTTCCTAGACGTGACGCACTACTTATAAGGTTGCTGAAAACTGTTCGGCAATTCCGCTTTGTCACTGCTGCGTAGAAGACACGATTCCAGTTGGTCACGTCTACGCGACCGACAACCTCGCACAACTAAGAAACGCACACAAGTCCGTCCAATTTAGTGCGAAAAATGAGTTTACAAACTGCCTGTATTTTCTGGGTATGATTGTCTGAGGATCGATGGAGGTCTAGAACGAAGAATCTATAGAAGACCAACTGTTTCGTTGATACTTCACACAAATGAAGCTTGGAGAAGGATCTACTTCGAAAGGCATTCTAGACCAGCAACCCACAACTAAAGCACGAAAAATGTAGGACAAAACACCTTGAAATTTGTTTGAAGGCACAGACAGCTCATACGGGTGACAGACAAACAACCCGCCGTAGACAAATAAACAAGCTAACACATACACAGCTTCTCATCAAGAGTGACAAGGTTTCAGCGTACCATTAGGAATAGATAGCCAAGAGCCATTATGTTCCCTTGTCTGAACTCGGGATAGCTCAGTGCCAAAGGCGCGGCGCTGCTGACCGGAAGGTTCATAGTTCAGAACCATTCCCGGCATTCCAACTTCCTCTGTCTAGGATTATGCAACCTGACAGTATGTCAGCCCTCGCGCTTAGTTCGGGTGGCTTAACAGCTAGGTACCGAAAGGGTGTTAGCAGATCTTTGTTCCGACCGCCGGTAGCATCCAGAATCAAACTATTTTTTGGTGCATACTTCCATGCAACCGAAGGGAGCTAACGTGCGGTACCAAGTCGACTAGGACTAAAGAGAAGCCATGAGTAGGTGGGCACATCGGGGGGCTCGGTCAGTGGCTGGCACCGAAAGTTAGTAAATATAAATAATCGTTCAGCTGCAACACCCTTTCGGTGCCTAATTACCATGCCAATTAGAAGGAAGTAAGAGGGCTTGGATACTGCCCAAGCCTAGACAGGAGTAGTCGATATACACAGGTAGGGTTCGAACTACGGACCTTCCGGTCAGTAAATCCGTGCTCTAACCACTTGAACCTTTTCGCCCCGCAGTATAGGTTGTCATTAGTCCACACTACACATTATGGGATAACGCCATGGGATCTGTAGACTTATTTAACCGGCATATGGTTAAAACGAAATACAGAGCTCCGATGACTACCGGGTCACAGGTGATCTGTTCGCCGAGCTTGGCAATCGGGCTGCAAAAGTTTCGCCGCCATGCGAAGACACGTCATCGGTGCACGGTTGAGCCGGCAATTTTTTTCACCTCTGCCTGAGTTTATATAGTTCCCGAAGAGTAGTGAGCAACTGCGACGTGATTGGTTGTTCGCAGATTGCCTAGCATGCAATTTGATTGTTGCTGTTGGGATTTAAGTTGCTTCGTGGTCGGGTGATCTTTCCAAAGGTTGTCCGTCGGCGTTGGTGCGTGCAAAGATAACGCGACAGCGTGGATATGTATTTCAACACCGTCGCCACTGTTACATTCATAAGACAGTGTAAAAAAAGCAACACTGACTGGATGATCTACCGAACTAACTCATCACGTGGAACGACAAACAGATGGACCAGTAAGACATTGCTTTGGGAGTCACACTTGATCTGTCGGTGAGCATGAACGCAGCAGAGTGAGATGCGGGCAAACACATCACACTTTTTCCCCATGTAAATTACTCACCACGTACGCGACAGCCAAAATGGGAAGGAGCAAATAGCCCGGATAGAGTCGTAGGTAGCAACCGAGTGCACAAAGACACGAGGAAATAAACAGCTGATCTGAGAAAAGGAAACAAAAGAGAATTGATCAGGAGAAAACGAACGAGACGCCATTGTCACAACATACTCTCTAAAGCCGTAAAAACAGAAACGGCACTTGAGGGGCGTAAGACAAAGCCCGAGAAGTTGGTTTGGAGGTGAAATTTTACGCCACCTTTGACTGAAACAACGTTGATACACCGATAAACATGAAACAGTTATGGCGAATCATCTTTGCGGGCTTATGCGCAGCTAGGCACCCATAATCAAACTGGGACGATGGATCCCTCGTTCACGATATTCTTGACAGAATAATAGGCCGTTACCGTTTCCCCCGAAGGATTGGTGAAAGTTCGGGAACGATGTCTGGTTGATGAGTCCGACAGGGAGGTATTCACTGGTCCAACAGATAGCATCGTGGCAAGGCTTCCAGTAAAGCCCCTGTCCATTTCAAGTGACCTGTCATACACTCCGCATACATGGATATTCATATGAGCATAAGCTTTTCTTGGAAGGTTAGTTATCAGGACTGACTTCTTTATCCATCTACAATGGAGGGAGTTTCATGCTTTTCTGCACTCAACCGCAGATTTTGGGCAATTTCGACAAAACTGTGGGTAGTGTGAACAAATTTGAAAATTTTCAATGGAGATTTCGTTCTGCAAATGAAACCGACCCGTGTTGAAAACTCGGAGAGCCACATCCTTATTAGGAATAATCATTAGTACGCATCTCACGGAGCCCCAGGGGTCTCGAACCCGCGGCTTTCCGGCTAGTAATGTGTACACTTAGCCGTTCAGCCAAGAGCGATTGTTGATTAGCAGTGTGATTACCTCTCATTTAGACAGGATGTAGTGCAACACATCCTTCAACCACAGAAACTGCATCACGTGGTTGTCTACAGGCTCCTCAGGAAGACTCATTATTATTCCTCTGAGCTACTTATAGATTGTTAGTAGTGTGATGAGACTTGGAAATTTTTAATAGTGAATTTGCCCTGTAAGTGAGGCTAATTTATACAGAAAGGCCAAGAAGCGTAGTGCTCCCGCTAAGGTACACATCTCAAAATAAGAAGTGAACGAAGCTAACTACATACTTAGGTCAGGATCGGCTTTCTGCTGGAAGGCGTGTGAGCACCAGCCAGTCGCACCCGCGTGAAATAGTACTCAGGACGAAGGGCACAACCAGTTTAGCGCCCGTGGCCAACGACTTCAACTTTATACTTACCATTGCTAAAAATTCCAAGCCCACAGCCTGATCAGTATCAGATCTAAGGTGAGGATTGTGAAATGTGAAGAACCGGATTATCAACCGGATACGTATTCGTTAAAACAATTATGGAGAAACCGAAAAAAAGCCAATAATCTTTGCCGATGCAGAAAAGGTACCACAGCAGACTAATTGGGATCGATACGAAAATGGTTAATTGGTGGTATAGGCTGCACCAGACAACGTCTAACTTTCCCTTGGGTGCAGTTTCAAACCGAAGCCTCAGTTATTTAAATTTCGAACGAATGAATATCTCAGAAGTACCAGGAAGTGAGTGAACCTCGAGAGAGTAGCGAACCCTCCAAGCAAAAGTTGCGAGCGAAACAACAAAGTTCCCTGGTAGGAAAGGGAGCAAAATTACCTTGAAAGCAAGTTATCATAGTCCACACGCAGATGACATTCCATACGATCGACGTTGACTGAGCCGCGAATGCCAGGATTGAAAACGGGTTGAAACAGTAACTGTGACACGGGAAACACAGATTCGCAGATTAATCGTTCAAAATTGACCGGCAACTAGCGACAACGGATCCACACATTTGGTTGGGTACATACACCAAAAAGTCGGTAGGGGCGAGATGGTTCAAGTGGATAGAGCACGAATTTATTGACTGGAAGGTCCGGGGTTCGAACCCGACCTCGGCCTCTCGATTTCCCCTGTTTGGGGATGGACAACCTGACCGTACCCCGGCCCTCGTGCTTCTTTCGGGTGGCATGGCAGCTAGGCACCGGAAGGGTGTTGCAGATGAACGATTTTCTGCGGTAGAAATTTTCTAAGATGTAGCAACCTTTTTGTCGGCATCTTCGACAAGGGATCTGAACAGGTTCAATTATTCTAAGCGCATACCAGTACACAAAACGCAAACGAAATAATGTCAGTTCTTCGATAGTGAAAAAAGGACAAGGGGCTAGGTGAGCTCGAAACGACTCGGTTTCTTTCGAAGCACGCAACACCTGTCTAGTGCGCCGTGATGACAACATGAGAGAGGACAACCCCAATGATGTGGTTCGCTTTTGCAGAGACACCTGCCTACTGAGACGAGTTAGGTGGCCGGTTCAACTGCAAGAACAAAAAAAACCTACAAAGCGTTCGCGCTACAGCCGAAAGTGACAAATACCTAACCCGTCGTCTCGGTTATTCGGCTGAAAAGCCTACCAGGGTATACTAGCCCTGGCTATCAAGGAGTCCCGAAAGATCACCATGCTCGGCTTTACGGACATCAGTGACCAAATCGTCGAGCCATATATATATCAATGTCTCTAACTACGGTGGTATGACACCGAACAGTCCACAACCGACGGGGGGGAGTTAACAACGCGACCTCGTTTTCTGCCAAGGGATTTGAAACTTAGCTTCCATGTGGTAAACAGTGTGTCAAAGTACGTCCACCAAATAGCGGCAAGTAGAAGCAAAAGCTTACAACCCCCCACATTTGTTTCCTCTCCTTAACTTCCCACCAGGGTATACTAGCCCTGGCTATCAAGGAGTCCCGAAAGATCACCATGCTCGGCTTTACGGACATCAGTGACCAAATCGTCGAGCCATATATATATATATATATATATATATATATATATATCAATGTCTCTAAATACGGTTGTATGACACCGAACCGTCCACAACCGACGGGAGGAGTTAACAACGCGACCTCGTTTTCTGCCAAGGGATTTGAAACTTAGCTTGCATGGGATAAACAGTGTGTCAGGGTACGTACACAAATAGCGTCAAGTAGAAGCAAAAGCTTACAAATCCCCACATTTGTTTCTTCCCCTTAACTTCCCCTGATGAAAGTTCTCTTTCAACAGCGTCACACAAAGTAGGAGAATCTTCAACGGACTAATTGGGTTTTCAAGAAGAGAGTGGTACCTCAACAAGAGGAGTTAACCATAGTTTTTGTTATTCGACCCGCCACGCCAAAACCACATTGTAACTTAGCGAATATACACTCATGTGCAGCACGTTCAGTTGCCTGACAACATCACAAACGAGATTCAGCTGGGTTCCATGTGGGCTCTCGAAAAAACCAAATTAGTTTGAAAAGGAGTGTATATTCGCTGATTTCGTGCAATTTGGCTTCAAGTCGAACATAAGGTTGACGGAAACCCAGGGACTGCGCCTACCTGATAAGCCCCAAAAAGGGCGAAACCGGTCGTGGAGTGTCGGCGGATTTTCAGCAACCTTATGAGTAGCACATTACAAAGATACACATTGTAGCTTCCTTAAGAAGCGTACAAACGTGGGTGTGAAATAAGAAGAAATGACGTCCTAACCGACTTCAAGCTGAGATTTTCGATAAATGAACGCCGGTACCAATGTCCGGTCTATGTAAGGTCCACGATAACCGGAAGCATCGACTGTGGCCTTGCTTGTGACCTCACCCAACCCGAAAGAGGGTCCACCATGTGCTCCACTGTCCCGGGGTGGTGCTTCACACCGGTGTCGAAGAGCATTGTGGCCACAGCCAGATGTCACCGGGTGTTAGGTTTCACCCCCGGGTGAGGGAAAGATGGGAGCCTAGAGAGAAGTCTGCCATCGAGTAGACGACCAATTGACTTCTGCCCAGCAGTTCCAGAGCTGTACACAGAAACACGGTGCGCAGCATTTCTAGCCAAACAGCGATCCATAGAATGGCAAAATTTTTTCTTGTTTCGTTGCCAACTTTTGCGCTTCCAGATATACTGTAGCGACCCAATCACCCACATACTTGACTGTTCAACTCACAGTCGCTCACTGGATCGCGAGGCTTGTCTTTTCTCATACGCACAAACACGTCGCATTAAGCTGATACATCGGACATCGATTGTCTGCACCGCCTAGTCAGCGCAGCAACCACTCATTTGCCGACGCGCCCACATACACGCACTGGGACCTACATAAAGGCAAACCGAACCCAGTCAAGAAACACAGACACGCGCGCGCGCAGGGAGCAGGACGTCAACCTCTCCACAAGTCCACGGACAACCATGGAGTACGTGTAGCAGTCTAACTGCGGAGAAAAACACGTTCCCGCCGTCCGGACTTCCACCAAGGGACACTCGCACCCGATAAGTTCCCTTTTTGACTTGCTCCCATTTCACATTTTATTTATTTTATACGTGTCGCAACCATGTCAAAAACTTCTATTAGTGCACATTCACCTTCTGATTTGTATTATGGCTATCACCACCTATGCACTAACAATACTCGCGCGATCATGGAGTTCTTTGTGATAACGGATGAATCAGAACCACCCGTCCCCAACCCCATGAAACTCTCGTAGAAACTTCAGGACATAGCTGTAAGACAACGCGCGGAAACACCGTGGCTGATAAACTCTGAGAAGAAAACTCTCTCCACATATCGGACGAACTCCGAATTATCGCTGCCTCAGGGACAGTCAAATAATATATCAGCTTCCTCGTGTTATCGAATAATATAACGAAAGACAAGGTGGGCAATCGCAGCGATGGCGTCAGATAGGCATTTGAGGGGTTGACACACGCAACCTGGAATCGTCTTTGAGACTGCCGACCACATCGGCGTGAAAGTGCTTCCCTGCATCCGTTTAAGGTCCGTTGAGAGGAGGGGAAAAACTACAATCGGCTTGAGCTTGATCAGCAACACTACTATGGGGCTGAAAAAAATGCTCAGCTGTAGCACCCTTTCGATTCCTAACTGCCATGCAACCAGAAGGAAGCACGAGGGCTGGAATACTGTCAGGTTGTCCAAGTCCAGACAGAGGAAGTCGAGAGGCAGAGGTTGGGTTCGAACCACGGATCTTCCGGTCAGTAAATTCGCGCTCTAACAACTGAGCCATCTCGCCCCCTCCACTTACATCGCTTGGTAGTACTATTACGGTACCCGCAACTAAAGACGGGATCTTGTCACAGGCGGTCAGTAGTGGTGCAATACGTGGTACTCATGGTATCGGTCCAGCCCCCCCCCCCCGCAGGAGCCCGACGTAGAAAGGGTACACAGAGATCCTAGTATAAAGCAACACTGTAAATTAGGCGACATGTCTTAAAAGTGTCTCGTTGGAGGCTTACATTTTAATCCTAAAGCTCTCTTGATTTCTTGTTATCGGATGTTATAAGGAACAACCTGACAAATGGTACTAACTGCCAAGCAGAAAAAATACCGTCAAGTGTGCAAAACCAAACATACGATGAGGACGAACAAGAAACAACAACAAACTCACCAGATAAGTACACGTATTGGGACACCAGTGAATGAATTTTCAGACACCAGCAAATCCTGTGAACTTGGATGTATTCCACCCGCTGTGTTTTTCTTCTTCCTTCGCAAATCCAGAGCCAGTAGAACTTTGGAAAAAACGTTGCACAATCGCATCATGGAAAATATCATCACCAGTTCCATAATCTACCAGCTGATATGGTCAATTAGGGGCGCTTACGATGAAACAGAAGATACAACGTGATTCGCCAAAGTAGGACACAGCCAAAGACCATAGGTGAAGTGCTAAAGGAGCCTGACGTTAAGGGTCTCGCTTCCACCGAGCATCTACAATAGCTAACCTGGTGGACTATATCGTTATCGTAGACAGGAAGACCGGAACGCAAGAGAAAAACTCCCTCTAGCACTGTAAAGAATGTGGTTTAAAAAAGACGGTGAAATAGTTGTCATGATGCAACCGTACTTGAGTCCCACTGATCCACTGGTGAATAAGCGAAGCTGTTGATAAATGTTTTTGAAGCATACCATTTGAACAATAAGCGGAGGGCAAGACCGAAGAGAATAACTAGACAAACGGTAACCGGCTTCATGAGCGCTACTCAGCAGTCTGTTTAGCAAGGCTGGAAAACAAAAAGAATAAAATTAGACAAAACGAAGTGTAGAAGTGAATCATTCAGCTGTATCACCCTTCCGGTGCCTAGCTGCCATACTATCCGAAGGAAGCACGAGGGCTGGGATACTGCCAGGTTGCCCAAGCCAGGGAAGTCGAGATGCAGAAGTCGAAGTCGAGCCATGGACCTCCCGATCAATAAGTTCGCACTCTAACAACTTGAGCCATCGCGCCCCGTAGAACTGAATGGAATAACACGCATGCCCTCGACCGACGCTACACCCCGGTGACGTATCACTTCCTAATGCATCTGAGCGTTACGTGATTCGTTAGTCTTGTGCCGAAACGAAATGAAGGCTATGGGAGGCTATAGATACCAGTGAGTTAGTCTGTCAGTATGTTTATGGGCTATAAACCATACAACGTAGCGACACTGGTTATGAACGTTACAGTCTGTCACCGAAGAATGGCAGAACAGGATAGATATAGTCAGACACCGGAGACAATGAAGAAATCAGTTGGTTGATGTAAAGTCATTTAAATTGACCGAAAATATGGGAAACGACGTACTGAATGCGATGTTTTGCATGCAACAGCACCAATAACTGTGTGGTTGAGCCATATCTGTCTGTCATTAGCCATTAAGGAGTTGAGTCACCATACAGGAAAGCATTCATGATTCGTCGCCAGGCTTTGCACTGTCAGCCTCTCGGATTGGGCAACAAGAGCTCTGTGGGGCAAATAGTTAACTAAAATGTAAAGTGAGTATCCTAACTAGTGAAATTTATGAAGCATTAGTAGCTCCAGAATCTCAGGGAAGTTCATCCTTCCTTAAACAATCTGCCAAACCTCGGAGTTGCTAACCAGAAGTTGAGATACAGAGGTCGGGTTGGAACCACGGACCTTCCGGTCAGTAAATTCGCGCTCCAACCACTGACAAACGGCATTCTTAGTCTCTAAGTTGAGGGCTGGAGCAAGTGTGGTAATGTGCTTCGTAAAATTTGGGCTAACCAAGCACTGCCACCTTGTGGTTAGGTTTTTGAGATAAGGGCTCTGGTTGAGCACCCTTCATGGGTTTCGCTGTCCTGATGGTATCTCAGCTCAAATATATCATATTGATCATCGACAGCATGACATCAGCGTTCAACACCGATACTTCACTACCGTAGAACCGTGATTTATTTGAAAGCCTTATTGTAAAGAATAAAGGTGGACGGAGAAGCGACGGCCCACATACAACCGTGAACATTATACACAAAAGCAACTTCATGCCATATCGGCTATCATATGATTGCATCAGTCGGATCCCCTTGTTCATTGCATGCACTAGGGTAAATAAACGGAAATGTCCCGATACTCCCCCTAGACTTGTCTCAACTGACAATCCTAGCTGTAAGAACTTTAAATAAGCACCTATAAACCTGTAAGATCCAGTTTAGCGGTGGATGATATAGTTCCTGTGGGTTCAAATACAGCTGCCGATCGTGAGGAGATCCAGTGTGGACACCAATCTTCTCCAGAACGCGTCTTGTCGAACTTTTTCGGAGATTCATCGACTCCACTCATTCGTCGGTCAAATCCAAGCAAATGTTACAAAGTGGCTCCACAAATTCCGCAACATATCTCCCTTTTTTAATAGACGCAAAGCGAAATTCTACGAACAACACATACTACTCGCATGCCTCCTCATCATTAGTATCACCGTTACACACCTCCACACTTTAAAGCTCGTTCTCATGCCATCGATTTTCATTTACCTCCGTCAGGTCGGCTTCGGCAGTGGGTCTACTCGGCCGCTCTTCGGGTGTATCATGCCGCTTGTGAAGCTGTGTCCCATTCACTACTTTCTATCCCCGACCACCTTGAATGGTATAGACGCTCACCCGGCGGTCGGTGACGACAAACGGCCCTTGCCATCGACTACCCAGCTTCCGCGACCCCGGTCCACTCCTTCCAGGATTCTGGTGATCCTTCCACTTGACCTTCGTGTCTATGGGGAACGTTCGGACCTTTCTATTTGCCGTTTTCTGCCTAGTCCTTTCCTGAGCGGCGATCAAATTTTTTCGAGCCCTCTTTCTTTCTTCCTCTGGCTCCTGCGGAGACAAGCATGTTGCCGGCCACAACCCAATTTCCTGATCAACCGAAAGGCGCGGATATCGACCGTGCATTAACACAAACGGGGACTAGCCTGTGGTTGACTGCGTGGAAGCACGATGAGCTAACAACACCATTGGCAAGTTCATTTCCCAGTCACCTCTTTGGGCCGCAAGCCACTCCTTGATCGTTCGGTTATTACGTTCAGTCAGGCCATTTGTTTGCGGGTGGTATGGTGCCGTCCTTAGCCGTCTGATACCCAGCTTCTGCAAGCAATTACGAAACTCTTCGCTCTCGAAGCAAGGCCCCTGATCGGTTAGGATCATTTTTGGCACCCCATGGTTGGCCACAATGTGATGCATTACCACTCCGCTGATCGTCGTCGCCCGCTGATTCGGCACGGCTGCCGCCTCAATCCATCGCGACAGGTGTTCTGTCATCATCACGATGTATTGGTTCCCACTGGTTGTCACCGGAAAGGGGCCCATGACGTCAACTGACCACAACTCGCCGATTTCTGAGACAGGAATGGGTTCCATGGGATGGGTTGCCCCTGTCGTATCCGCTTTCATTAGTTGACAACGCTTACAGGACACCACATAATCCATCACCTCACTTCTCATCCCGGGCCAGTAGGCCCTCTGCCGAAGTAGGTCGTATGTCTTGGTGCACCCTGTATGTGCCATCTCATGGCATTCAACGATGAGATTCCGTCTCAAGACGCGAGGTATCACGGGCAGCACAACATCTGAATCAGTGGCGTTCCAGGAAATTATGCCAGCTTCATTCAGCCTCAGCCGATCAAAGTGACTCTGGAACGCTTCTAATTCCTTGTCTCCCTCTCCGTTCTCAATGTTCCTTCCATCCAACAAGGCGGCTGCAACCTTTTGTAACACCGGATCCTGCCGTTGGAGTTGCACCAACTTTCCGGGATCCAGTTCGACGACGAGGCCATTGGCTCCAATCATGATCTTGGGGACCTCATCTTCAGCCTCTGGCCTTGACAGCCAATCAGCCAAGTGGTTCTCCTTCCCGGGCACGTGCTGGATTGTGAAGTCGTACTCTTGCAACCGGAGTGCCCAGCGTGCGAGCTTCCCGCGAGGATCTCTGGTGGTCCTGATCCACTCCAGGGGTTTGTGATCGGTTTCGACATGAAACCTTTGCCCAAGCAGATATGGTCTCCACTTATCCAGGGCCCAGACGATCGCTAAACATTCCTTCTCAATGGTGGAGTACTTCTGTTCAGCGTTAGTCAGGACGCGACTGGCATATTCGATAACTCCATTCCTCTGCTTTAGGACTGCGCCGATACCGCGATCACTGGCGTCCGTTGCAACAATGAACATCTCTCCGACCCTGGGAAGTTTGAGGGTCAGTTGCTGATCCGACATCCGCGCTTTGACACGCTCAAAAGCTTCATGTGCTTCTCCGGTCCATTCGAATTTCCGATTTTGACCGAGCAAATCGTACAGTGGCGCAGCGATCTTGTTGAAATCCTTAACGAACCGGCTGTAGTATGCTGCTCGTCCAAGAAACTGCCGTAGAGACCGCTTTGAATTGGGAACAGCACAATCCTTGATCTTTGCTAATTTTTCGGGCAGTGGGCTAACTTCTCCCTCACCCACTTTATGCCCCAGCAGTGTCACCGAACTCCGAGCGAGCTGTGTCTTGGCTTCATTTATCCGCAGGCCAGCTTCCCGGATCCGCTCCAACACAGCCTTCAAGTGAACTACGTGCTCTGGTTCCGAATTGCTGTACACAACGATATCGTCTCCGTACACGGCAACATTCTGGAGTCCCTTGGTTACACGAAGCATCAAGCGCCGGAATGTGAATGGTGCCCCGGACAAACCAAACGGCATTCGTCTAAATTGATATTGGATGTCCCCAACCGTAAACGCCGTTTTCTCCCGGTCCTCCTCCTTGATAGGTAGTTGCCAATATCCGGAACGCAAGTCGAACACAGTAAAGTATCGGGAGTGCTGGAGGGAATCGAAAATCTCTGCAACCGAAGGCACAGCCACAACCCGATTTACGGTCAGTTCATTCAAGCGCCGGAAATCCACGCAAAACCTGTATTTTCCGTTCGTCTTCCTTACAAGCACAACTGGGGAATTGTACGCACTGTTGGCTTCTTCGATTATACCATTCTTCAACATCTCCTGAATCTGTCTATGGACCTCCTCCCGTAGATGGAGCGGCAACGGACGGGGGCCATAAGGTCGAAAGCGTTCTGATGACAGAGGAATTTCGTGTTCAATCCACGGGCAGAAGCCAAACGGATCCTCATCGCCCGTAAACAGTTCGGAATATTCCTCAACCACGGCCCGTATTGACGATACATTACAAGACGGAAGTTTTCGGACACACAGCTCCCTCACGACAGTGCCTGGATAACCTTCAAGCTTGATTGCGCCATACTTTGTCACCAGCCTTCCCTGCTTTAGGTCAATCACGGCATCTGTGCCCTTGAGAAAATCAGCTCCCAATATTGTCTGCTCTACGTCTGGGCTGATCAGGAACGCGTGCTGCACGGACTTGTCGCCTAGGCGTATCGAGTGCGTTGACAGTCCGTCAATCTTCAATCGATATCCGCCAACAGCTCTCACGGCTAGCGCGCACGGTCTGTGTTCAGCTTGGTTCCCTCTTTGCCTCAGCGATACGCCTGCTCCGGTATCAATCAAACATAACTCCTTTTTCCCGTCTACCTCGACAATGGCTTGTACGGTAGCTTGTGTCAGTGCGCTAATCGCGACCCACCCAGGAAAAGAGGAGTACTCTAAAGTTTTATTGTGTACAAGCGATCGGTTACGGGGACACTGATTCTTCCAGTGGCCAGGCCTGCCACACATGTAGCACCGGCTGGTTCGAGTGTGCCTCCGCGATTCCGTCTTCACGGCCGCCAGCTGTTCGGTGAGTTGGTCCACCCTGGTCTGCAGTTCCTCCACTGATGCAGCATCCCTGTTCTCCTGCGACTGCAACGTGGCCAGTGGTTCCTCGGGCAGCTCCCGGGCCAGACGCACCAGCTCCTCCACACTCAACTGGCCAGTTGCTCGTGCCAACCGCAACTGGGCACCAAGCGCGGGCTGCACATCTTCGACGAACTGATCCGACAGCAACCGGTGTCGCGACACTCCGTCCGGCGTCGGCAAAGTGCGATCCAACAACTGCTGCAGGCCGGAGAAGAACACGGTCGGGTCAGATCCGGGTCCCATCCTGGCCGTCTTGAACCGCCTCATAGCCTCCTGGCGGTCGGCCGGCGTGTCGAACTCCGTTGCAAGGACTTCCTTCGCGGCGGCCCAGTCCATCTTCAGAGGGCCTCTTCTGGCCGCATCCAGGGCCGCCTTCGCCCGGCCCTTGAGGAGGGTCTTCAGGGCTGCCAACTTACCCCGGTCGGTCTCCAGCCCGGCAGCCTCCGCAACCTCCCCAAAGTCCTTCAGGAAGGTCTGAATATCCCCATCCTCAAAGGGTTGCGGCCACGGAATCTTCATCCTTATCCTGGTCACGACACCAAATGAAAGGAAGAAGGCCTTCGCTGCGGAGTTATTTATTCGGAAATGCCAACTGACCGATTACAGACCACTGAACAGGGAAGCAAAACTCTAATCTGCATCTTAGTTACAAAAACTGGACACAGATCTTCTCCCGAACGAGTCTTCTTGAGCTTTCCTGGAGATTCATTGACTCCACTCATTCGTCGGTCAAATCCAAGCAAAAGTTACAAAGTGGCTCCACGAATTTCGCAACAGATCTCCTTTTTTCAATAGACGCAAAGCGAAATTCTACGGACAGCACATACTACTCGCGTGCCTCTCCGTCAGTAGTATCACAATTACACCGGTAGCTAGTGAGTCTAGGGCTAACTGGAAATTGGTAGCCTCCAAGTCACATACTGTGTCGACTAGAAACAAACAAACGAAATAATTGAAAAGTTCGCTCCCCGTTATCCGTGCAGTGAGCGTATCGACCGCCAAGATCAGCTTCCGCGGGACTTGTTCAACCGACTTGAGCTTTAATATTACCTACCAGGATCACAGTATCGGTGCTTTTCGCTGACCGAGGCAACCTCAACAAATCTTGGCTGAAGCTGCCACAGCCTCAGGGGTGCCGTCTTTCGGAGCGCATGCTGCTACACACAGACAGTCTTAAGAGAATTGTTGACTGGGATGCGGTCCCGAAAAGCGAAATCAGCCCTGAGGCAATGTATAACTCACATTTCTTGTCTGGGGTCACCACACACCCGAAAAGTAAAGTGCGAGAAACATGGGTTGTTTCTGAGTGATTTTAGATGTATGACCGAACTGGTATCTTGTATGCGTGTTTCCTGGACACAACATCCTCGCCAGCGTATAGCCGCCATACTGGCAGAAGGAAGCATCGAAGCTGAAATACTGCCAGGTTGCCCAGTCCTGGACAGAAGCCTGGATTCGGGTTCAACCCTCGGTCCTTCCAGTGAGAAGGACCATGCTATAGTTCGAGCTCAGCTCCATCGGAAGACGGGGCGAGATGGCCCAAGTGGTTAGAGCGCGAATTTACTGACCAGAAGGTCCCTGGTTCGAACCCCACCTCTGCCTCTCGACTTCCCCTATCTAGGCTTGGGCAACCTGGCAGTATCCCAGCCCTTGTGCTTCCTTCGGGTGGCATGGCAGCTAGGCACCGGAAGGCTGCTACAGCTGAACAGCTGAACGCCATCGGAAGACGGGACAAGGTCTACGTAAGAGCTATCTGTTGCCAGATATAAAACAGTGCGAACGTTGGGAGCAGCCATGTGGAAGGGAGCTCTTGAGTTTAATGAGAATCTATTTTTATTCATATTGCTGTCATCATCATCATCATCAATGACAGCAACATCAGTGTTGGCACTGATGCTTCACTGTGGAAAAGCTTAGATACAGAGTGACGATAAGTTGAGAAACAGCAAACTGAA